CCCTCCTCTCAAACAGGAAACGCGGTACATTTTCCTGCCGGATCACGACCGAGATTACCTGCTGATGAAAGCGGCGGCGACGCACACCCTGGTGGACAGGGGGCGTGAGAAGGGCAAAAAGTAAGCGACACTTTACAGACTGCAGCTTCAGTCTTGTTTTCTTCTGTGTTACCCGTTTTTAATTTGATTATTATCAGCATCAAGGCCCAAGGAGTGGAAGCGTCCTCTGGGTTGGTCCACTACCACTAGCAGGAGTTCTCCACACTTTATGAGGTTTTATCAAAGATTTTCTTTGGACACAAGCTGCTTTTTCACTCATTTTCAGTCCAATTGTTGTACCTGACCTTGTTCAGAGGAACAGTCATCTCACCAGAGAGCAGAGCAAAAGGCAGAAAACATCCAAAGAAGAGCTTTGAATGTCCGTCAAGAAGCCTGGAGAAGTATTTCTAAAGACTACTGAAAGAAAGAAAGCTGAATCGCAGAGCTCAGACTGTGTTGAAGAATAAGTGTGGTCATAACAAATATTGACTTTCAAGCTCATTTAAATTGTACAAACTTGTTTTTTGCCTGTATGTCTGCAACTCAAGACTTGCACAGCCAGCTATGTTTGTGCAGAGGTGCAGAAACTGAGTCTTACTTTTTGGAAATATGATTGCTGAGATGAAGCAGATGATATTTCCTGCAGACAATCCAGCAGATTAAACCTGACTAGTCTGTATTTGTTTTTAATGTCACAAGATCAAATATGTCAGAAGCGTCACTGCTCATCAGTGATCAGTTCTTTGAATGTTAATACTCGTGCTCTCCAGCAGTTGTGGTGTTTTTATAGTAATGCCGTATTTCCTTCAGTCCAGTGAAGTACTTTGGTGAGGACGTGTCAGCAGAGAAGTTGAAGATGTACCATCCTGATTTCATCCGTTACCTCAGAAACAGGTGAGCAAATTCTCACTCGTGAAAGCAGAGCTCGTGTTTCAAAAGCTGTAAGTGGGATTAAAGGAGAAGCAGCGACTGAAACCAGAGAGAGCTGCTGAGGGAAGATCCCCACGCAGCCACACTGGGCCACAGAGGTCACCGTGTGTGTGTGTGTGTGTGTGTGTGTGTGAGAGAGAAACTTCAAGCTTCAGTTCCTGAAAGGCTCACAGCACAGGTTATTCATGTTTTGTGATCTTTTTGTTTCAGATTCCTCAGATCCAGCACTCTGAAAACCAGATTCAAAGACATCTACCGTCCATCAACCGGTGCCACGATGCTGCTGGCGGCGCTGCACACCTGCGATCAGGTACGTTTCCAGCAGTCTGTTGTTTACTTATCAGGAGACAAGGCCGTACTTGCCCGATAGCGTGAGAATGTTTTGACTTTGAGCAGCTGAGCTGCAGAAGCATGTGCTGCATTTCTGTTAAATTGCTGTGTGTCAAAAAGCCTCCAGAGTTATGCTTTTGATCTTTACTGTGGTGGCAGCGAGCCTTATACATCGTGTCCAGATTCCGTATCCGGTTAATTGCACATGTTAAACCTGTTTTCCAGCCTGAGGAAATGAAAATGAGCCAAGTGGGTCAAATTGAACCAAAACTGGCATTTTGCAGTTTACGGGTCACCAGATTCCTAATCTGTCTCTTTTGATTATAGGTAAGTGCGTACGGCTTCATGACCCCAGACTACAAGAAATACTCAGACCACTATTACGACAAAAACTATCACCCTGTGGGCTTCTTCGCCAACCACGACCTGCGTATGGAGATGAATCTGTGGCAGCAGCTGCACAAGGCCGGCCTCGTACGGCTCTACATGCGCAACTAAACGAGGATGATGAGAAATTTCATCACTCCATCTGCACGCGGCTCACCAGCATAGTCACAGGGAGACGGGATGTGCAGAAACGTGGGACTGTGCCTGTCTCAAAATGACACTTCACAACTTTCTGAAATAAACGCAAAACCAGATGATTTATTTTCATGAAGGAAATGATGATAAATTTGATTTCTAAAAGACAGCTGCTGTTATTGTTCAGCAGAGAGGTCACAGTTATGGGTCTATTATTTGTTTTGCCTCTTTTTAAAGGAATCTTTCTGTGCTGGGAAGCATTATTCTGGTGACTGGTTGGAAAATGGATCTTATGTTAATTTAAAAGAAAGAAACGATTTTTGGATTAAAGGGCCTGCTGGTCTGGACCACACAATCCTGTGACGGTAAATCCAAACGGTGTAAGCTGTGAGTCACAATCTCTAAGATACTGTCAGACTGTTAAGATGCTTTCAACAACCTCAAAGGGGAGCTCTTCTCCTCCTCCTCCTCATATTCTGTCATACACGGGCTCTTCCAGTGTTTCACTTACCTGCTGGTTAAACCATCTGTTTATGAGGGGCAACCAATAAGAAGAAAGGTGGCTCGAAGGAAGCTAACGTGGTTCATTTCAAACAGAGAAGAAACTGAGGGGCTGCACCAGCGTAAGATTTACTTTGAACTGTGCTACTCTGGTAGAGTTAAAAATCATGACTGTAAATCTGGGAATCTGCAGAATTTATCAGCTTTAGTTGGAGTTGAAACACTCCAGATATGCTATTTTTTTTAAAGTGTTATTTCCTCTCTTTGAATAGATGGGCACAGATTCTTGTCTAGTTAAAGAGGGAACTGATTTGCTATTGTAAAAGTTTGATTGTTTTAAAATAATTTCATTATCTCTGCAGACAATCTGTGGTGATTTATGGTCATATTTGGCTTTCCTGTGAACCTTTCTGCTGCTGCTACAAGCTGAACTGGAAATTGTCCCTTCTGTCTTGTTATGTATTTATTTTTAAACCAGCAAAAAGTTGTTTACTCTGAGAACTTTAGATCGTATCATACGATCGGTCTCTGGCAAAGCTCAAGTCATTATTGTTTGACACAGCGAGACCGCTCTCGAGTTGGCAACATGCTTCAAATATTCCATTCCCGCCCTAAGTGAGCGGCCAGAGCACTGCTGGCAGTGACCACGGCCCATTTTTATGAGTTTTCTTTTTTTCTGTGTGAGTTTACTGTGGAATGAAAAGGGAAATAATTCACTGACTGTGACTTTAAAGCTCACAAACAAATTAAGTATTTAGTTTAAGGGACGTAATTTATTCTCTTGTTTTAAACATATTTTAATTTCTTTTTTTAACACTTAACTACACTTTGTGGCCTCTACTGGACTTTCAGTGCCTTCAATGTGAAACAGCAGTTTGGGTTAATTACTGTAAGAACTGAACTTTATTGCCAGACTCCTTCAGCTCTGACTCATCAGCTTCTATCTCTGAAGTGACCATGGGGGGTCTGCCCTCGACTACATGGATGTACTGTCTTCAAGGGGATTTTATTGTATTTTATTAACAATACTACAAGTTTGAAGTGGAAGGAAGGTAACCAAACCAAAAACGGTCACATCAGGGAACGTGTGTATTTAAAAATTAGCCTTCTGTGTTATTAAATCAGTGCAGAAAAAGCAATGCAATATTTCCAGCATTTCTGCAAACTGTAGAGGGGAAGGAGACTTCTGGTTTATATACGGTGCAATGATTGATTGTGATTTAAAAAAAAAAAATTAAATCCATATCTCAGTGAGTTTGAGTCTTTCTGTCATAACCTGAGAGTTTAGTCACACTTTATTTTACAGCTTTGATTAATTTTTTTTCTACCAAAGATCAAGAGGAAGGTTCTAGAAATGATCATTTACTGTTGCTAATTATAAAATGGAGAATTTATTTATTGGTCTGTTTTCTTAACTGCATTTTCTAATCCTCGGTCATGAGGAATTCTGGAGCTTATCCTGGACTGGTCACCAGTCTATCACAAGCCTCACACAGAGAGACTATTCACACTCACGGCCAGTTTACCCAGCAAGCATGTCTCTGGACTGTGGGAAGAAGTCATGCAAGCACAAGGAGAACATGCAAACTCCCCAGACAGCAGGCAGATTCAAACCCAGGAGCTGTTTGCTGTGAGGCAACACTGCTAACCACTGTTCCACTGTGACCCAGACAGTATTTGAGAGCTTTTCAGACATTAATCAGTCTTCAGCTGCCCCGCACCCTTGTATAAAGTCAGTATCATGTCTGATTGCACAGAATAGCCTATGACTTAATAACATGCAGTCCAATTTTATTTCTATAGCACCAAATGACGACAACAGCAGTCACCTCGAGGTGCTTTATTTTAAGGTAAGGACACTACAATAAAACTAGAAAGTACAACAATGAAATGACCCCCTGTGAGCAAACGCCTGGTGACAGTGGGAAGGAAAAACTCCTTTTAACAGGAAGAAACCTTCATCAGGAGTCTTGCACCACCTTTTCCATGTTGTTCTGTTTTCTCCACTAAATTTTGTACGCTGTAACATTTATCGTAAAGCTTTAGTTACTTCTATCCTAAAATCTCCAAAATTCTAAATACCAAAATATATTAGCTCTATAAACATTCAAAATGAAATATTAATTAATGCATAATATGATTCTGCATAATGAGCACGGTTTCTATAAATCTTTTGGAATATAAAATTAGAATTATGCTGATTTTGGCTGCATGAAAGCCAGAAATTTGTGCCCCAACAGGCATTGAATGATTGTTTCCAACTTTTTGAAACAAGTCTTTTAAACTAAATTACACGTCTCTTGTGAGAAAGATATCTATTCTTTAACTTAAGATCTGGTATTACATAGGGCCTCTAAACGTGCTATTCCACCTTGCTGATATGCATTGAGAATAGCTGTGTGTCAACACATAATGTGTAAATGCACTAGTTTGGCACAAAGCCATCAGCTAAAAAAAATGAAAAAAATTTTTCTTTGTTGTTAATTGTTTAATATGTTTTAAATTTACACTCATTTATATTTGAGGTTATCGTTATTTTAAATGAAGTTTTACTTCAAGATATTTTTGGTCATACTGAGTGACATACCATTCCACTTGTACGCCTTTTAACCGGCGCCAAAGGTTTCAGTTCATACTCCAATCCAGAAGGTGGTGCTAACGCACCTGAAGTCAGCTCCCCGTGCACTGTTCACCAAAGAAGAGCAGCAAAAAGGAGACAATAAACGAAGTGGATCTTCAATACCGCAACACTGAGACGGTCTTTTGAATTAAACCCAGAAATTAAACCCCTCGAAGTCTATCAGCACCAGGGGATCGATTAAAAACGAGCTCGCTGGTAAGAAAACTCAGATTTAACGTGCAGTGACTCTCCGAGAGGAAACGGCTAGCTGCTAGCTCATCGTAGGGGGTGGATGAAGAAAAGAGTTACACAAAAACGGAGCATCTCATCTCTTGTCAATCCCAAACGGCACACAAATGACAAAAGACCATAGTTCGGCTATTTATTAGTTAATAATGAAGTATTAACGCGAATGAAAAAGGCGGAACCCAATAGCGAGGATTGAAGCGGATACCCGGACGGTTTACAGCGCGCACACAGCCAAGTTATTTTTACAGTAAAAAATCTCTTTTTATTCAGTCTGTGACAAAAGCCGCGATGAAACGCAGTATTTGGGCGCTTTTGTCGATTATATAGGCCAGAATTAGATGAGCTGAGCCTGAATTGCAGGCCGCAGCCGCAGGGGGGAAGAGAGCAGCTGGCGAGTCGGACGGTTTCCAGCTCTTTGTCTGAACCGGAAGTGCAGAAACATTGACATCCTGTTGAGACCGATCCCCCCCCCCAAATCATGATTTTGGTTTGTTTTTTTTTAGACTGCAGCAAATCCAGTATTATCCAATATTATCGTACTTTAACGATTATTAATAAACATATGAAAATACAAATAAATGAAGAAAAATGGCACCTCAGAACTTATTACATATCCAAGGATATTGCAGGACTTCTCTATAAAGGACAAGAAGCCATTAATCTGGTGATTTAGCCTAGTTTATTCCTAGTTTGTACTCTGTGTTTCCAGCAGTGTAAAATATTCATCTTTTTATAAAGGTATAAAAACATGGCACTTCCACATTATTTTAAACTGAAACTCTGAACATAACCTGCTCCCAACAATTTATTTTATTCTGCTGGCTGCAGATTTGGTGCTGTTTAGTGTTTGAGAGTAAAGAATAATATATAAAAACAGAATTCAAACATAGGCTTATGTACAAGCAAGTAAAGTGTAGGTTAAGATCAGATGATGCTCATAGAACAATAAAATTGTTTGCTGTTGAGGATCTATTTTTATTACTGATGCTCGTCAGGGAAACACAAAGACTTTAGAAGCTACTGAAAATCTTTAGACCCTCCCACTGATTCCCCAGAGGTCTGCAGCAGGTACCACAAAGCAGGATTTTGTATTTCATACCCCTAACCCTATAGATTAGAGATCAGCACGTATGAAATCTCTGCCTACTGACCAATCAATTCACCATGAAATAGCGTCATCATTTCTGGAAGATCCCTTGGACCTCTGTGTGTGAACAGTAGAAGGTTCTAAAGAAATAAATGCAATTTTATTTCTTGCCTGTTTTTTTCCTCTTGGTAGCAAACAGTTTTACAATTTCATTGATCCTAAAACAGGCCATGTAAACTGTACTTGCTGATCTCATATTAAATTTGTACATAAACTGAGCCTATGCTTGAAGTCAGTTTTTATATTTAATCTGTACTCTCAAATGAGTCTGCAGCTGATAGAATAAAAACTAAAACTGCTAGGAGCGAGCAGGTTTGATTTAAATCAGCTGGAATCACCACATTTTCACTGATTCTTTTCTTTACAGCATGTTTTATGTGTGCAATTTGTTAAGCCGTGCTTTACTAAAATCACTGACTAAAGTGAAAACTGTGACTTGCTTTGTTACAGGAAACTGCGTGTATTAATTTGATGATTTAGAAAATGTACAAATGTTATGCTTGATTCTAATCTGCTGCCGTTTATCCTGATCATCAGTGTTAGGAAAAGTGAAAAAGCCTTCAAAATTGATGTGCAGGGAAAGAAGCATAAGCATCATATTGCATTCAGGGGCGTTTCTTAAGACGTAATGTAGAAAATCTAGCCTTAGTTTGCCTATCGGCCATTCATTAAAAAAATAAGAAAAACAAAAGGAATAAAAGTGTTCTGCATAAAATTGGCTTTACTTTTTTATGGTTAATGCTACATTTTTGTTCAGCCTGTTGAATTACTGCTGAGAATCTGCTCTTCAGCTGGATTTAACTGTCGACACAGTTACATCCCTAACTTGTTCCTGTTTTTCCTGCAGATGTTTAATAGCTGTCGGTGATTAAAGAAGTTCCTCATGAGTGAAACCCCAGTCTGGACCAGCATGAACCCGGAGACCCTCCACATAAAGGAGGAACAGGAGGAAATCTTGACCAGCCACGAGGAACAGCAGAGTAGTGGTCTGGAGGAGGCGGATATCATTAAGGTCATAATCACTGCAGTTCCTGTGAAAACTGAAGATGATGAAGAAAAACCTCAGTTCATACCCTTTCATCAAAGCCAAGCTGAGGACAACAGAGATACAGAGCCTGAGAGCGATGGACCAGAACCGAGCAGTGACCCGGATCTTCAAAGTGAGTTTAAACCTGATGCTGATGAAAAGGCTTCAGACTATTCTGAGACTACTGATGAGTCTGGACCTGAAAACGAAGACAGCGATGGCGGCTGGAAGGAGGGCAGGGCACTGGAGTCAGACTTAAATATGGATGTGGATTGTAATGCGGCAAAAAAATTCTTAAGCTGCACTTTGTGGGGTCAGCAGTTTATCTACAAGCAGTGTCTTCAGAAACAGCTGACATGCCATTCAGGACAAACTCCTTCCAGCTGTTTGGTTGATAACAGCTGCGAGGTAAAGCAAAACGTAGATTCCCAGGTGGTGGCCCCAACAGGTGTGAAACAGTTTATCTGCGAGTTGTGTAGTGAAGTATTTTACCGAAAATCAGAATTTAAGAGGCACAAGAAAATGCACAACGGGGGGAAGGCATTCAGCTGCGACTATTGCGGTAAAGGATTTAACCGAACGTCAGATCTCAGGACACACATGAGGGTCCACACAGGTGAGAAACCCTTTAGCTGTAGTAGCTGTGGACAGAGATTCAACCAAAAGATACACCTTAAGACGCACATGAGAATTCACACCGGAGAGAAGCCGTTTGTTTGCGAGGAGTGCGGTAAAAGGTTCAGCCAGCAGGGAAATCTGACAACTCACATGCGAGTCCACACCGGAGAGAAACCGCTAGCCTGCGAAGACTGTGGGCAAAGGTTTAACCAGCAGACGCATCTTAAGGCACACATGCGAGTGCACACAGGAGAGAAACCCTTTCAATGTAGTGACTGTGATAAAACGTTTAAACGAAAGACGCACCTTAAGACCCACATGAGAGTCCACACTGGAGAGAAACCTTTCGGTTGCAAGGACTGCGGTAAAAGGTTTTACCGAAACACAGATCTAAAGACTCACTTGAGAGTCCACACGGGAGAGAAACCGTTTGGATGCGACGAGTGCGGCCAGAGGTTCAACCAAAAGACGCATCTTAAGGAGCACATGAGGCTCCACACGGGAGAGAAACCCTTTCACTGCAACAAATGCGGCAAGAGATTTAATCGTAAGACGCATCTTAACTCACACATGAGAGTCCACGCAGAATGAAAACGTCAAGGCTGCTTGGTTTGTTGTAAGAGATTATTTGCCGTGTGGAGGCAAGTCTGCAAGAACCACAGCATTTTTTTTATTGTCCTGTAACGTTTACGTTTTTTAAGCTTTCTTCAGTGCGTAGTTCAGAATATTTTAAACAAAATGATATTTGCTTTATCTGCTGGATGTTTAATGAAATACTAATGCTGAGGCTTCTTTAGTTTCCCTAAGCTAACCTCAGGTTTTGTTATTTAAAGAACTCAAATAAAAAACAACTGTACTGTTACTAAAAACACTTAATTTAAGCCTGCGCTACGTATTAACTCTCTGTTGGGCTCTGTTGTATGTCAGTCCACACCAATACTTGTGCTCGTACAAAGACTTTTTTATAATGTGTTTTGATGTTTAAGCAGTGAGTCTGAATGAAACTAATCTGAACAGAAAACATAATTTAAAAACTGTTATGGTGGATTATTATGGTAGTCCCTATTAGGGTTGGGCAATTGGACGAATATATTGACTAGTTTTACAAGGGCGATTTATTTATTTGTTTGCCCATGAGCAAGTTTGCTAATAATGATGGAGCTAATAAAAGCAGTCAACAGAAAAAAATAATAGCGCTGTTTTAACAGCACCCTCTTTCATCTGCGAGCAAATGCCCCCACCTCAAAGTGCGCCCAAGTGCTTGTTGATGTGGCTGCAGAAGCTGTTGATAGCCTAGCATACTCAGCTGGATGGTGGACACGTGCATGCTCATGCAAGTTAGTCGTGTTTGAGTACTTTGCTCGAACTATACGTCTGCACAAGTGGCACACCGCTTTGGTTACATCCTTAGGTTTACCTCTTTCTTCTGGTTTAAGGCCAAAGAAATCCCAAATTGGCAACTTTTAATTTTTTAGTGCTGTCAGCGTTAACACTCCTTCATCATGACTAACGCGATTTACAATTAACCCATCTGGAGCGCAGACTGAGTCAAAATCCCTGAAATGTCTCTGTCAACGCATTTCGTCAGTTTGTCCTAATTTTGTTCATTCTGTGCTCCAGATGGGTCGAGAGCGTTAAAAATTTTAATCGTGATGACCGTGTTTAAGCCACGTTAGCGCTGACAGCGTTTTTTGGCTTTTTTTTTTTTGGAAATTAGTTCACCCATGTTTGAACTTCTTCTGTGGTGTAAACGTGCATGATTACATAGCCCCGCCCATCAAGACGTCTGCGCACGCACGGATATATGGCCCATCGGCGATTGTTGGACTGACGATTGCCGGTTGGAAAATTTTTACATATCGCCCAACCCTAGTTCCCATGTAGCATCACTAAACGAATGTTTTTTTTTCTTTTACTATGTGCTACTGGCAGGTTCACTGAAAAATACTACTTTGTAATATAATATACATTTCAGCCAATCCTGTTTGTAAAATGTATGTACTGTAATGTAAATGACTTTCAGATTCAGCTGCCTGTTGACGAGAACACTACTACATGTACTGCTGTATTTGCATGTTGTCTCTCAGTGTTTTATTAAAGGTGTGTTCCTGTAACGCATCAGAATGTTCTCAGACTTACCTTTTTGTTACAGTAACAGCATATGATTCTTCTTCTTCAGTGTTTTGGTGAGACTGTCCTCAACAAAACAGCTGGATTGTTTTTGTTTTTTTTAATTAAAGCTGTCATTAGGACTAGTTAGATCTTAAAGGTAAGTGCAAAATATTGGCAGAACTCAAAATCCTGTAGCCTAGAGACTGGAGGAGCTTGTTAACATTTTCCAACGCTACCCGGATGTTGTTTTAACAAGTTTATCAGCATGTGAGGTCAAGTCATATAACCTTCATTGGATGTAATAATATCAAATATTTGCAAAGCACTTAAAAGTTATAAAACCACACATAAAGATGAATACATGTTCCACATGGGACGGGTGGGCAAAAAGAAGCTTTTGACCTAACTAAAGCTAAAGTTTAGTTAGGTCAAAAATTCAAACTATAAATGCTCGAAAGGAAACAGGCTATTCGTGTCCAGTGAAGGGAATCCAAGGAACAGCTTACATTAATTAAGCTAATGATTAAGAGGAAGGAAAACTATACAACTATACAAATGACTATCAAAAGAAGAGTTAACCTAGGACCTGGCGTCTACATATGAGGTAATCACGTTTTGGGTTATTTAGACCAAAATACTCAATTTTGCTCTACAAGGGCCTGATATCCACTTACGAGGACATTATACTGCTACTGTTCTATCGAAATTTTAAACGAATATCCTCATATGTGGCTCTGATTTTTCTTAGAAACAAAAATTAGGTAAAAAAAAAAATCTTTGCTTTTACATTCATCAGGTCCCAATCATACGGAGCCCCGCAGGGTACATGGGAGAAAAAAATAATTAAGACGGACTTTTGCGAGATCTGCTTGGTTTACAAGACATCACATATTTGCAAAAGTGCTCTGACGTTTTCGGAGATCTGACACCCACCATCTCGAAGCTAACGGGAGGTCGAGACCTACTACAGACCTACTACAGGTCAAGACCTACTACAGACCTACTACAACTCGGGATCTCGCAAAACTTTTGCGAGATCCCCAGTTAGTTTTGCGAGATCCCTAGTTTGTTTTGCGAGATCTACTTTTGAGCACCTACGCCTGTGTGCTCCCACATTAATCACACTCTATCCCAGCTGCAAACTGGGGTGGGACACAATATATACCTTTGCCTGCATGGCTCCTAATTGATGAAGACACAGTAGTTTAACCTAAATGACTTATCCATAATTTGATGAAGGCAGTGTGCAAAGAGGTTCAGTTTAAGGTCAAAGGGAAATTCATTTAATTTATATTTTTTGCAATAAATACTCAATAATAATGATCAGTTTTCTAATCTGCAAATCAGGACCAAACATTGAAACTTTGTTATATGCGTGCCACATTCACTGCACATATTCTTTTGTTGGTATTACTGAGAATCAGCTTTACAGTTTGAGTATGTAAAAGAATTCCTTCAGCAGAGAATCACAGCATGATTGGTAAAATAATCAGTGAAAATTTGGTGGTTTTAAACTCAAAACTCTGCTGTTGACCAGATTATGTGTTCAGCAGTTTTGATTATATGGAGAACAACATACGAGCTTTCAGAGAAGTACAATCACATCCATTTTTGTAAGTCGCTGCGCCTTCAAGACTCGGAATATTCATCACGCCATCACTAACTTAACATGTTCAAAACAAAGTATATGCACAGTCAATATACATAATAATCATTTAACATTTAATAGTGTGCAAAAGTCTTGAGCCACTTTCATGTCTTTTTATTTTGTTTCCAATGAGTTTAACTTTCTGTGAATTAAAAAAAGTGCTCTTGAGCTCTTGGGCAATACTTCTCCAGGTTTTGAAAGCTTTCCTTTGGACAGTCCAGTCCTTGTACTTGACAATTTTTTAAAAATGCTTTTCCTTTTTTGTTTGTTAAGCCACTTAACACTGGCCTATGAGTCATTCAAGCATAAAAAGACAACTTATAAAGTGCTTGGAGTGCTCCAGTAAAACAGAAAAGGGGTTTTAAATAGTATTTTCAGGTACTTTGTTATTAGCAACCTGTCAAAACCCCACCAAAGAAAAAACTGATAAGACTGATAAGCATAAAATATTCCAGCAAAGGCTGGAGAACGATTCCTGAAGACTACTTAAAAATAACAGGAAGCTTCCTCAGAGAGTTCAGAGTGTGCTGAAGAACAAAGACACCCATCATCACACCAAATATCAACTTTCAAGCTTTTTAGAATTGTACAAACTCTGTTCTTGCTTATAAACTGCATTTTCATGTCTCTTGACACATGTCAATGAATCACTGCACGCTGTTGTTACAGACAAACAGTGCAACACCACAACCAGCTTTTCTGGTCATTTATTCAGCCATAAAACAGCAGTTTGTGCAAAAATAAGGACATAATTATTCTCAGACAGTAGTTTTAAAAGAAGCAATTTCTTTCTTGTTGCTGTTAGCATAGTTATCCACAATCCTCTTACATCAGCCTGCAAAAAAAGCATTTTACCACTCTCTTGTACAAAACTCTCCAAACTGCTTTGAATCCACAATTTCTGCATTTTTAAAGCATCACCTGTGGGGTTTAATAGTTTGATCAGGACCATCATTAAACTCCTGTTTAACTAACTTGGATGAAATCACATCCTCTGAACACGTACAGTGATGATGACCCTGAATCATAAAATTCCACCGCTGTGCTTCACAGGTGGTATGAGGTGGTTCTCCTGAAAAGCTGTCTTTGGTGTGTGTCAACATGTTTATTACTCCAGTTGCCAAATAACTGCAACTTAGTTTTTTTTAAAGCACAGTATTTCAAAAAAGCTGTTCCTAAATGCTGATCCCGGCGAGAAAAGTCTGACCCTTGATGATGAAGTTTCACCTTTTACACTCTAAGGTGGTTCTATTCATTGACACCTAATATAGACGAAATGAAGCAACAGATTAAAAAAAATATAATAAGAAGGTATAAAAATACTATGTTATTGTTAAAAAACAAATAAACAAACAAAATTCTATCACGTATGGACCCTCATATGTCTTTTCAGACTTCCCTGTCTGGTGAATCTTTCGCTACAAACTCCACAGCTAAATGGTTTCTCTCCGGTGTGGACGCTCGTGTGCCTCTTGAGATGCATTGCGACGAAACATTTTACTGCAGTCGTTACAGCCAAATGGTTTCTCTCCTGTGTGAACTCTAACGTGTTGTTTGCGATGAGTCTTTTGGCTAAACTTTTGACCACAAAAAGAACACTCGAATGGTTTCTCTCCCGTGTGGACACTCGTGTGTCTCTTAAGAGTATTCTGATGTCTAAATGTTTTGCCACAAATGTCACAACCAAACGGTTTCTCTCCCGTGTGAACTATCGTGTGTCTCTTCAGAACCTCCTGTTGTGTAAATCTTTCGCCACAAACAAAAGGTCTCTCTCCTGTGTGGACTCTCATGTGCCTTATGAGATGCATATTGCAACTAAATGCTTTACCACAGCTGTCACAACCAAATGGTTTCTCCACAGTGTGTAACTTAGCATCTGACAGCTGTATACCTCCATCCTCTTCTGGATTCCTCCCTTTGGCTGAGTTGCTGTTTGGAGCTTCAGCCTCTGAGATGTGTTCAGTTTGGCTTGGCTGAAGCTCCAAGGACATAAATTTCTATTCATCATCTTCACTCTTTACAAGGAAGTTGGTGATATTGGTCTCCTCCAAATCTCCCTCCTGACTTCTGCAGAGTTTCCGCTGTTCCTCCTTTATGTAGAGATGCTCTGCTTCCTGCTGGTCCAGACTCGGGCTCCATGGAACCTCTTCTTTAATCACCAGCAGCTGCTGAACATCTGCAGGCACCGATGAAACACACATGCACATTATGGACTGTAACTTTGGTTAAAAGAGCCAATATATTATGTTATCTCTAAAGATTTTTTGAAGAGCATCTGAAGTCTTCGTCTTCCTCTGATGAGCATCTACAACGACTCTTAAGAGCTTCTTTATTCCAGCTTTTTTTTTTCATGCTCCTAAAACACGTTTAGTGACACGTTTGTTAAATTACACACGCTGTATTTTTTCTTGCCTTTAAAAAAAATCTCTATTTTGTCCTAATGACAAATTCACTTCATATAACTTCTTTTATTACTGGAAAGTGATTTTCTTTTCACACTTTACTAATAATTAAAACACAAATGACAAAACACGTGCGTCTAATACATCTAACATTATCATTCTATTTACTTTCTAAAAAAAAACCTCGACCTCTTCAGGTTTCTGATTGGTCAAAAGCAGCAACTCTACCTCTTTTACCTACTCAGCGAGATTAAGAAACCCTGTGCTTACTTATCAAGCTGATAACCGCTTTTGTATGACCTCTTAGTCTGTCTGCAGGCCAGATAAGGAAAAGATATCCTGGGTAAACTCAGGGTGTTTTGTAGTATAGGCCCCAGAAGTGTATCTTAATCAGCAAATATAAATACAATGACAAGGAAAACAACATATCAGCAAACTGCCTTGCACTCGAGTAATTTCACATTTTGATGTTTAAATTATAATATTATATTTCAAGGTCAAGACCTGGATGGATTCTCTCAATTCTTTAGTTTATTACTTCCTTATTACCTCCTATAGCAGAGCATACATTGCAGCATCCTTTATCAAAGAAAAAAGAGGAAGTGCCGTCCCAGCCTGTAGGATTAAAGCTGTTGTGACTTGTTGGCTTATCATCTGTCAAACAGATCTCTCACAAATGGTATCAAATCATTTTGAGTCAAAAAGAAGCTGCAATCAGTTTTTGGCAATGTGACCTTTACATTTTAAAAAAAAAATATTTTTCCAGTTAATATTTTTAAGAAATTCTCTTTCAAGGGCAAAATAGTTCTACAGTGAGATTTTAAGTAGCTAAAAAAAGAGTGAATTATGATGTATGCAGAACAGGTCATTTTTAAATTATTAGTATTTTTATAACCCCTGCATAAATCCTCTTGACTATGTTTTTGGCACCGATGAGCAACTAATCTCAACGTGACCCACATTTAATTGTAGACAGTGTAGATTTTTTACCTTTATATTTCCAACTTTGATACTTAGGTACTGTTTACACAGACCGTGTTTACACACAGTGGGGATAAAACACCCTTGTTTTCTTCCTTAAATAAGCTGCAGGCTCCTTAAAGATGAACCAGGCAAGCGCAGAATCGATCACCACGAATCACCAAAACAGAGGTCTTCTGTGTTTTAAGCAGGCACCTGCGCAGACACCTTCACCCCATCTATGATTTTTACTGGTGGTGTGCAAACAAGGAACCGATGCATTACCACCACTAACTGGTCTGGAGTGTGGATCGGACCTTCAGACACGTTTATACTCTGCGTCATTCAAAGGAGAACAACAAAGGGGCACATATATACTCACAGGCCACTTTATTAGGCACACTTGTTCAACTGCTCTGAAACACAAATATCTAATAATCAGCCAGATCAATAATCTAATAATCAACATTGCACCGGCTCGTTCCATTTAGGCATGCTGACATGGGCAAAACGACCTGCTGAAGTTCAGGTTGATGCATCAGGCTGGGGGAGGGGATTTAAGTGACTTTGAATGTGGTTGTTTGTAAATGTTTGTAGGTGTTAGGGATCAGAGGAGAAGCACCAGACTGCTTTGAGCTGATAGGAAGTCAGCAGATAAATAAATAAAAAAAACTTGTTACAACCACCGTTTTCTGAAGAAGATCTCTGAATGCACAACACATTAAACCTTGACCACATTGGGAGCCACTCCTGTGAGCTAACAACAGGAAACTGAAGACTGGGAAACACTGATGAGTCTCAACTCTGCTGCAAGATTCAGACGATAGGGTCGGAAGTTAGTGTAAACATGAATACATGGATAAATCCTGCCTTCAGCAGAATAAAAGCTACACTTGGTTTGTAGAACTGGTGTCTATAATTACAGCGGTCTTCAGAGCAGGGAAGAAATATTTGGATTTGTGGAAATTTTTACGGTGGCCCTGAGAGGCCAAACGGACTGCAACGTCAGAAAACACTTGCAAAAGGAAAAACGCTGCAAAAAGAAAAACGCTGCAAAAGCACACAAAACACAACGGAAATAGGAAAAAACACAATGGACATGTTTCTGGTGAGATAATTCTCGTTAGACTAGTTGCAGGAACCAAAACATGCTAACAAGTGCGCTGGGACTGGGAGTCACTATAAAGAAGTGGAGGAGAGGTAAATGTGTTGTAATCATATGATTCTAATACAGATATCTGGAATATACATACATGTTTTGGTGCAACTGGTCCGTCGGGTTATTGTCTCCCCAGAAACATTTCCATTGTGTTTTTTCCTATTTCCGTTGTGTTTTGTGTGCTTTTGCAGCGTTTTTCTTTTTGCAGCGTTTTTCTTTTTGCAAGTGTTTTCTGACGTTGCAGTCCGTTTGGCCTCTCAGGGCCACCGTAAAGTTTTCACCAAGCAGTCTCCTTTTGGGGGGTGGCTGTGGCTCAGGAGGTAGAGCAGGTCACCTACTACTCATCAGTTCAGTGCTCAGCTGGAGTAGAAAAGTGCTACATGAGAAGCAGACTTTACCATTTAGTTTTAGCTGTTGGACTGATGTCCTCATAGTTGAATCTGGAATACTTCGGGATAGAGTTTGTGGTTGACTCAGTGACTGGAAGGTATCCAAGCCGAAATCTTCTCCCACCCATTGCGGTGAGCTGACAGTTGGTATGAGGTGTTAGTACTGATATATCTGGTTTTCACCTAATATCACACAGCATTATACGCAAACATCTCCACTTGTTGTTTGTTCAGATGCAGCATTGCATGCCTAAGCCATGTTGACATGTTCTTTTCAGACAGCTGAGATGTTCTGCTGGCAACACTTCCAAACCAACTATGTTCAGTGTGAAGATTTAACATGCTGAGGCTTGTAGAGTCTGAATGGAGCTCTGGGCTTTTGTTCTCTGAGCACTGCACTTGGGATGAAACTGCTGCGAACATTAACATTTACCTTGAATATTTTTCACTTATGAATAAGAGAATAATATTTTTAATTGTACAATGACAGCTTTATTTGGAAATGACCTCATAACCTTTGCTTGATGGACAGCAACAGCTAAATTCTCCAGGATCATTGCTGATGTTTTTCCTGCCAGAGGAGGTCTGCTATTATTAGTTATTAGTCAGAAGTGTGTTGGCAACGTGTTACGTGGTCAGCCACCACACCCTGTAATGTCACACTGCCAAGTTCTCATCTTTTTCATTGAATCTTTGTGTGGCAATATCTAGATTCACTGTAGGTGTTTTACATGAGTATTAATGTAAACAGAAAGAAGAGATGTGTTTGTTGTTATACAAACAAAAATAACAATTAATAACATTCAAAATCCAACCAGAATTATTCTTTAAAGCCAGCCATTTTAACATCTTCTCTTATATTTGCAGGAACAATGTTATTTGAAAAATACTGTATATGTACAGTTTCAGACATCTAGATGTTCATATTTGTAGATCTACAGTTTCTGTCTTCTTTGGACTCTATCGCCTTTCCTGGACTGTTAATGGGGCTGATGGTGACCCCTGTTGACCTGGTAATAGACGTGCATTTCACTAAACTTTAATTTCAGGCTTTATTACGAACACACCTCATGGGTGGAGGACAGTTTAAGCAAATAAACTGCAAAATAGAGAAATAGAAAATACATATTGTATTTTCTATTCACTGTCAGACAACCAGCATGCTCATTTAAGTGCAATGAAAAATCATCCAAATTCAAAAACAAAAGTCCTTATTCATACTGCTAATGCTCTATAACCACAAACAAACCCAAAAACATTGTTCAGTTATTATTAGTGTAAAAAATTTAATGTGTGGTAATCTGCAAATAAGGAAGCAGCTGGAAGAAACAGTTTTTATTCCATCTTTAATACAGTTAATTGTGAAGGAAGCAACAAGACTGAAATTCCAGAGGCCTGCACTATGAGGAAAAAAACTCAGCATATTCAGGATTTATTTAACTAACATTTGCAATCAGGATCAATAAGTCAGCCCAGTCTAGCTACGAGGACTTTTACATATAGAGGGCAGTGTTTGCAGCATATCACCAGGCACAGACAGACAGGTCTACTGGCAACAGAGCAGCATATTTTACACATGAAGAGCAAACTACAAATCAGAAATACTAGTCACAAGAACATCATCTGTGAAGTGCTCTACAGGCTGTCAGTCACCTACTTTTCGTTGTTTTGGGCAAATACTTCAAAATATCTACTAAAAATAATCATTTCTGCATGTCCTTTTTTTTTTTTTTTTTAGGTTTTGTGCGGTATTACTTTATAATGCATTAGTAATGAGAAGTGTGTAATAAAAACTTTAGATTACTGTTCAGTAGAATTGGTACTTCATATTTAGCACAGCCAGCAGACAGATTGTCATGTAGTGTTTATACATTCGATCAAAAATCAGTGAGACAGACTGAAAGGCACCCGGTCCATCAAAGGCCAGAAAACAGCTACAGAAGTCAAGTGTCTATAACCCAAAAGGTTCGAGATGTTCAGGCACAAAATGACAGGCATGTGATTCAGTTGTTGAAGCTGCAGTTGTGTGTACACTCATGTGTCTCTTCAAACTTCCCTGTCTGGTATATCTTTCGCCGCAGACGCCACAGGAGAACGGCTTCTCTCCCGTGTGGACGCTCATGTGTCTCTTGAGAGTATTCTGCTGTCTAAATCTCTTTCCACACAGACCACAACCGAAAGGCTTCTCTCCTGTGTGAACTCGTGTGTGACTCTTCAGAACCCCTTGCTGTGCAAATCTCTCGCCGCAAACACCACAGCTAAATGGTTTCTCTCCCGTGTGGACTCTCGTGTGTGTCTTAAGGTGCGTATTGGAACTGAAAGTTTTGCCACAGTCAACACAAACAAACGGTTTTTCTCCTGTGTGGACTCGCATGTGTCTTTTAAGAGTAAAATTAACTCTAAATCTTTTCCCACAAGCATCACAGCCAAATGGAGTCTCTCCTGTGTGGACTCGTAAGTGTTCCTTAAAATTTGACTTCTGGCTGAACCTTTTACCACAAAAACCACAATCAAAGGGTTTTTCGCCTGTGTGAACTCTCATGTGCGTCTTAAAATGTGTCTTCCTGCTAAATTTCTCGCCACAAACAGCACAACAAAAAGGTTTCTCTCCAGTGTGGATTCTCATGTGTCTGTGGAGAGACTGCCTGTGGAGAAAACATTTTCCACACTCAGAGCAGCTAAAGGGTTTTTTGGTAGTGTCACATCTCACGTGACAATTTACACCTGACTCAGGTGACCTGCTTGCCTCCCAGTCCTTGTCACTGTCTTCAGTTCCAGGTCTAAAATCTGACAAAGGTCCCTGCCATTCATCACCATCGTTACTGAGTTCAGTCTCAGAGGAGTCCGAATCATTTTCCACTTCATTAGGTTGTAAAGTACTTTTTGTATCAAGGTTTCTGGCTGATTCTGGTCCTCCACAGTCGTCTCCATCAGTCTCAGTTTTTATTTGTTTACTTGTTTGATGACAGTAAAGCTCTGAAGAATTAGGTTTCTCTTCACCATCTTCACTCTTCACAGGAGCAGCAGTGAACGGGAGCCTGCTGGTATCAGCATCCTCCAGCCCTTTAAAGTGTTCTGCTGTTTGAGTGGTGCACAGTTCCTCACGCTCCTCCTTTATGCGCAGGGGCTCTTGGGACCACTGGTCATCAGAGGGGCTCCATTCTGGGGGAACCTCTTCTTTAATCACCAACAGCTGTTGGACATCAGCATGAAACTCTGAAACACACAGAGACATCACCTGGAAAGCACTTATTTTACAAATGTCACAACACAATAACCTTATAAAACACAGATAAAAAAATAACAGATAAAAACAAGAATAATCTGTCATTAAAATGTGAATAAAAAGGGTTAGAATAATGACTATTGTATGAGACAGGTTATTAAAAAACACCGCAAACAGTAACAAAAACAAAACAAGCCCTTGAAACAATTACAATAAATAGAGGTCAACAAAAAAACCTCTATCTGCTAACTTATCACCAGCTAAATGTCAGTAAAAAAAATCTAAATGCATCTTAAGAGCTTGTTGTTTCTTTTGTTTAAAATAAAGATCCCTTTTTCATCTTCCACCTTTTTGCTGCTCTTACTGCTTTTAATAGGAGCCACTGTTGCAACAAATGACTTGTTGGGGTGAATAATACCAAGTCATTTTGAGCCAGAAGGGACAAACTGGAATCAGTTGTTACCAAGGTGACTTTCTATTTTACTTTTTATTATGATTTCTTATTATGTTTTTTGTGTTTTCAGGAGCAACCTGACCAAAAGGAAAGCAGAAATTTCACCAAATACAACCAAACAGTTTAAAGATAATTTAAGTGGCCAAAAAGCACTAAATTGATTACAATGTAGGTACAGTGAAAGGTGTTTATTAAGAACAGGAAAGGGCAGTTTAAGCAAATAAAGTGCATAGGTGTGAGTGCAAATGGCTGTCTGTCCCTGTGTGTTGGCCCTGCGACAGACTGGCGACCTGTCCAGGGTGTACCCCGCCTCTCGCCCTATGACAGCTGGGATAGGCTAGCGCCCCCCGCGACCCTGAAAAGGAGAAGCGGAAGCGAATGGATGGATATATGAGTACCTGTGTATAAATACACAAACAATACACATATGCTTTCCTGCTTTCAATTGTGTAATTTCAGTGATCTAGGTAGCTCTGTTTTGGAAGTTCAGTT